GCCACTGCTTCATTTGTCCTACCACAAATCGAATCTGAATCTATTTCCCTACCACCATGGTTTCAGCCAAAGGAGATCGCGAAAGTCATTGGGGAACTGAAACCGAAAAAGGCCCCTACCCTCGACCAAATAACCCCAAAAATGTTAATTGAACTTCCAAACTCTGCCATTGAGGTTATTTGTAAGCTCTTTAATGGGATCATAACTCTCGGCTACTATCCGAAAAAATTGAAAAAATCTATTATCATTATGATACCGAAGCCCGGAAAAGACCACACAATTCCGTCATCCTACAGACCATATAGTTTATTATCGTGTCTGTCTAAAATGTTCGTAAAATGCCTTCTAACTGGAACAATCGAACAAGTTAACGGAATAACATCAGAAATACGCACAGCTTTTGAGCATCGGGAATACTGCAGCGCAATATTCCTTAATGTATCTCAAGCCCTCGATCGAGAATGGGTAGACGGCCTCATGCACAAAATCAAAAAACACTTGCCTGATTACACCCACAAGCTTCTTGAGTCGTATCTATACAACAGAACCTTCGCAGTAAGGTGAAACACAACAACATCTGACGAGGTGCCCGTAGTAGAGAGGTGGCTATCTGATTGGCGGATTAAAATAAATGAACAAAAATGTAAACACATAACGTTTACTCTCAAAAGGCAAACATGCCCTCCACTATCATTGAATAATACGCAGATTCTTCAAGTCAATGATGTAACGTATCTCGGCGTCCACCTTGGCAGACGACTAACCTGGAGAAGACACATCGAACGCAAAAAAGTACATCTAAAACTAAAAGCCAGCAGCTTCCACTGGATTCTTAACGCTCGTTCGCCCTGCGTCTGGACTACAAGGTTTTGCTCTACAACTCCAAAAGCCCATCTAGACATATGGCTCCCAGCTATGGGGTAACGCCAGCAGCAGCAACATAGACATTATACAGCGCGTTCAATCGAAAATCCTGCGAACTATAACAAAACATCCAAAGGGACCTAGGCATCCTTACCGTAAAAGATGAAATAGACAAAAAGCGTCCTACAATGAAAAACTCTCTGTGCACCCCAATCGGCTCGCAAGAGGCTTGACTTGGGTTTCCAGCTGATCACGTCTACAACGCAACGACCTGCCAAGCCAGCAATAACTTTCAGGGCCCCTTTAGCCTAATATCACTCATATGACTGTTAGTTAGATTAATTAGTTTAAGGTTTTATACACTTATTGTTAGTATCCGAAGGGAGAAGATTCAATAAATAAATAGCAAAGCAATAAAAAAAAAAAAAAAAAAAAAAAATTATATTCTCTTCTAGTCTGGGGTACACAATTATTCATTTCTATTTCAGAATTTCAAATTTTATTTAAAAATTGTATCTCATACTACTGTGGGCAAAAATTATGGTAAATTGTTTATTTTTTAAATCTATTTACGTGGTGTTAACTGTTAATAAGGAATACTTTTTAAGCGGTATGCGTCGTTTGCGGGAAGCAATTCGTCTAAAAAGGCAGAATTATAGGAAACAACAACTCTTGGTTTTTGCAACACGTTAATGCACCGGCTCACATTTCACTCCTTCTTCGTGACCATTTCACAAAAAATTCATCCCTTATCGATCCTCAATGATCGTATTCGCCTGTGCGACTTCTGGCTATTCCCAAAACTCAAGAGATCACTCCAGTGAACGCGTTTCGAGTCGATTGAGAAGTTTAAAAAAAATCGAAGAAGGCGCTGATGGCAATACCGGAAAGAGACTATTTGGCATGTTCCGGGGATTGGAAAAAACGTTGGCATAATTACATTTTATTGGGAGGGCATTCCTTTAAAGGGGATGAAATTGATTTACAAGAATAAATAATGATTTTTCATTTTGCAAACAAATTTCTTTTATTATTGCTTGGTTTTTGCATCATGATAATGTGGCGTCTTACACTGCAACCCTTTTTCGTGACCATTTCGCAAAAAATTCGACGCATATCGATCCGCAACCACCGCATTCATCTGACTTCACACTTCGCCGTGTGACTTCTTCCTATTCCCAAGACATTAGTAGCTCTCATAGGAACTTAAGCTTTAAGGGTATATCAACTTCGGCTTCCCGAAGTTACCTTTCTTTCAGGTCTTTAAACTTAATTTAAAGTGCATCATGTCAGCGTTAAAAAAAGGATAGTGTTTTAATCCATCCTTGAGGGCAGAAAAAAATTATTAATACAAACAAGATTAGAAGGAAAATATACCTAGTGATAGATACTCAATTATATTTAAGGACAAAATATTTGATACAGTGGCGAAAAACATAGTAGCACAACTCAATACATTTTCTTCTGGGTAAAATAAAATTGTTTTCAGTGTTTTTGTTTTTCTACACAAAATTTTTTTGTACTCTTTAGTATTCTTTCTAACCAAAAAATGTGTTACCATATTTTTAAATCCTGCCTATAAATGTATTTTTAAGTGTTTTATTAAAAAAGCCCAAAAAATGGCGAAAAAAAATAGCACCACTAACACATTTATTAGCAAAAACACCATATTTAGCCGAATAGCCTTAATACAAAGCACGGGTCAATTAAATTTATCTATAATTTCAATATTTTGAACATAAAAAGTTTGATAATACCATTGAAATGGGAAGTGGAAAGCATTGCACTAAGGAAAAGCGTGATATCGTCCAAAAGTTGATAAAGGATGGAAGTTCTTACAGAGAAGTTGGTCGATTCGTCGGATGTTTAAATAAAATGATTAAGAACGCTCTAAACTATATAGAAAAACTTGAAACACGAGGACGAAAACAATCTATGACCCCCCTTCACGTCAATCGATTGATTCGTCAGAGCAAGAAGGATCCTTTCAAACCTGCTACTGAGCTCAAAAAGGAGCTTAAAATAAAAGCGACGGTGCAAACTGTGCGTACATACCTCAGGGAGCATAACCTAAAAGCTATCAGCCCAAGAAAGGTACCACTTTTAAATGCCAGACATATTTCATGCAAATTTGTCACCCTAACAGTGGAGGAATATTTTACGGTCAGGTGAGGGCAAGGTGATTTTTTTTGGTGGAAAAGGATCCAGATCGTATTTCAGACGTGCAAAGAACTCGGAATTTAAGCCCCAGTACACCACACAGACCATAAAGCATGCAGGGCGTAGTGTGATGGTATGGGCCTGCTTTTTCTATTACGGAGTAGGCCCGATACATTGGATCAAGGCCATCATGGATCAGCGTGGATATCATGGATATCATGGATACCATTTGCTACCTTTCGCAGAGTGTGAAATGCCGCTTGTGTGGGTCTTCCAACAAGATAATGACCCCAAAAATACCAGCAAGAAGGCAAAAAAAAGGTTTGGGGACAACCCTGTGAAAGCTATGGAGTGGCCTCCGCAGTCTCCAGACCTTAATCCAATAGAGAATCTATTGTCGGACGTCAAGAAGGCAGTCGCTGCATCAAAACCGGCATCCATCGGATCCCTTTTGGGGAGTAATTAAGGAGTCTGGACTCAATTTCCATAAAGCGTTGACAGGACCTAGTTGCCTCCATGCCAAGACGCTGCGCAGCTGTTATTTCCAATAAAGGATACACTACAACGTATTAAATGAAGAATATATAATGAGATCTCGGAAACTATGGAAGCTACGCTATTGAGATTTGGCGTGCAGATTCCTGAGCTTCTTACGCAGCGCAAGTTTGTTTCAGTAGAGTGCCACGCCCACTCTAACGCCCACAAACCGCCCAAAACTGTGGCTCCTACAGTTTTGATGCTAGAATAAAAATTTTAACTGAAATGTAATGTTCTCATCAATACCTATTGATTGAACCAAAAAAAAATTTGCCACGCCCACCCTAACGCCCATAAACCGCCCACAAACTTCAAAAAATCGTAAATATGAACGTGGATATCTCGGAAACTATCAAAGATAGATTCCGTAGCCTTATACGCAGCGCAAGTTTGTTACGCGAATTAGCCACGCCCACTCTAACGCCCACAAGCCGCGAAAACCTGTGACGCCCACAATTTTTTTGCTACACAAAAAATTTTAACTGAAATGTATTGGTCTCGTCAACACCTATCGATTGGTCCAAAATTTGCCACGCCCACTCTAGCGCCCATAACGCTTAAATCTGTATACCACCGGTAGGTGGCGCATTTTAATCTCGCTTTGCTACTTGCATATCTCTAATTAGCTGAGTAACGGGTATCTGATAGTCGAGGTACTCGACTATAGCGTTCTTCCTTGTTTTTTTTTTAGTATCCGCACTCTATAGTATTCTCTTTGAAGCATTTCAAAAATGCGTTGTTCTAGGTTTCTAAGAAATTTCTCTCGTAGTAATAGTAAAAAATGTTTGTAGTTACTGTTGATGCTTTAAAGTAGTATTATCGTACACTATTCCTTAATAAAAATTATGTATAAAAGAAGAGATAATTCTATATTTGAGTGCCTCGACTTATCAGATACTCGTTACTCACTATCACTCATTTACTTTTTACGTTTTATCTACTTTAAATTTTTTCATTTCAACTTTTTCAGTCTTATCTACTGGCTGTGACGTCATTGACTATGTTCTTTTATCTACTTTACATTTTAACATTTCACACTTTTCACTTGTGACGTCATTCACGATGTTCGCTAGATAATGGGCGTAAAATCATTACTAACTGCCTGATTTCGACCGTTTTCGGCGTGAGGGTACGAATTCACAAGCTGATTAAAACAAAGAGAAATATCAGCGCTTATACGGACGATTTGTTGAGACTTGTCGGTTTGTGGACGTGCCAACACTTTTGGGTTACTCTACAAGTAGAGCGTATACAAACCTTGTTACTAGTGATAATAGTTTTTCTATAAATGTAATTTGTTATTAACTTATTGCTCACCAGGGAATACAACTACAAAGTGAGATTACAGCAAAATATATCTTGTAAATATTGGGAAGTTCGACTTCTTACTTTCAATTTTAGTCAAGATTTCCCTAACTAAGTTTTACACTTTTTTGTAGGTTCTTTGCTTATCCCCTACATACGAGTTGGCAATTCAAACTGGTGAAGTAGCTGCACGTATGGGGCAGTTCTGTCCGGACATAAAGCTGAGATTTGCCGTCCGAGGTGAGGAAGGTATGTATTTTCCATTAACTAAATTTATATTTTTATACAATAAAACGTCTATAAACGTCTTCCTCTGTGGAAATTTTTAGTTGATCGCAGTAAGAAAATTGAAGAACACATTCTCATTGGGACGCCGGGAAAACTTCTAGACTGGGGCTTAAAATTTCGTCTTTTCGATATGAAAAAAATTACCGTTTTTGTATTAGATGAAGCAGATGTTATGATAGCCACCCAAGGTCATCATGATCAATGTATTCGAATACACAAGTATGTATAAATTTAATATAAATTAGTGATTAAACATAAAACAAATTTAGGGTCATATGACCAACAAAGTCGATATCACTTTTATGAAACAACTCATATTATGGTCTGTTTAGATTACTTGCGTTATTGTCGAATGTTCTAAAAATGATGTACACTGTGCAATGTATATACCAGGGTGGTCAAAAGTATTTTCACAAAAAAAAAGTTAAATATATTCATAATTTGAACTTACATCTTGTTAACTTTGGTATCAATGGAAAAATATAAGCAAAATGATTTTTGAAAAATTCTTTTTGCAGTTACTATTATTTTTGTTCGAAGAAACTTTTTGCATCAAAAAATTTAAGTTTTCAAGTCGAGGAAAAAAGTTCAAAAAGGACATTTTCACACAAATTCGTCCTTTTCAGTAAGTACTGAATGTGTTAAGAAATGTATTGTATCATTCAAACGGCATTTAAATTACCTTTCCATTGATACCAAAGTTAACAAGATGTAAGTTCAAATTATGAATATATTTAACTTTTTTTTTGTGAAAATACTTTTGACCACCCTTGTACACCTAGAAATTAAGAAACTTAGAACTTTTGTACGGAAAATCTCGATAATCGATTCTTCTCAATTTGGAATTTTGTCTTCTTACTTTTTCTTCTTGATATCAAGACTAAAGTACTTTCGATTTTGGTTTTTATAGTGATCAGCAATATCGATTTTAAGTTTGTAAAAGAGGGACGTGAGGGGAAGACAGAAAAATTAGGGTAAAGTTAACGCGAAGTTGTCGAAGCATGCCGCGTATCACACTCCGTGAGTTTTAGTTATTAAAGCATATTTTTACAATTTGTGTACGCAAAAATGGAACTTTCTAAACCCTTTTCCTCCTCTTCTTCATAAATTAAGTAAAATGTAGATAACATAAAACACCGACATTGATGAATGTGCGTACTAATACAATCTTCTGGAGACCGCTCTGCAAATTAGGGTCCTTCAGGTAAAAGGAAGCGTTTCCGACCCTGTAAGGTATATATTTACATGAGTCGTTCTTCGCCCGAATAAAAAATCAGGAGATTTTTTATGTTTGTTGGTTATTTTTTATTAGAACGTTGGAAAAAGACTAGTTGTATGTTACATAATTGGTTAGAATGAAAGGGGGGCAACGCCAACCGATAGTTCATCAAGACATGTTAAATACTAGAAAAGCAAGGAGCTAAAATACCAGTAGTAGGAAAATACTAGAAATCCCGAATAGAGGAAAAGGCCGGAAAACGAGGGAGGGTCACGCGGCGATCGTGGCGGCTCTCTTCGTGACGTGCGATTCGGACACGGCTTAGCGGGGTTTCGAAAGTCACGCGTGCTCCTCGAGACCGCCAACTGGAGGCGATCAAATTCTACGGAGTGGCCACGCGGACGATTACAAGACACACATATATATATAAGCAAGTCAGCTGAGGTTAGTACGATCAGATTCTCATGTGTTCAAAACGGTGTAGCGGACCCGAGTGAGGACAAATTGAATAAACGGTGAAGAATATCTAATTGCGCCTCTCGATCGTGCGTTTCCTTCTCGTAGTCAGGTACCAAAGCTAACCCTTTACCCCGCTCACCCCGCTGCTTCGGACCTGGATGTGGACCCCTTTCCCGTCCGGTCCAGTAGTTTCCCTACCTCAGTAATTTTGGGATTCGTGAGTGGACACCCTTCCCGCCGTATCCGCAAGCCTAGTCTCCTCCGTAGTTGTGGGATTCGTGCGTGGACACCCTCCCCGCCGTATCCGCAAGCCTAGTTTTCCCGTCTCCTTCGTAGTTTTGGGATTCGTGCGTGGACACCCTTCCCGCCGTATCCGCAAGCCTAGTCTTCCTGTCTCCTCCGTAGTTGTGGGATTCGTGCGTGGACACCCTTCCCGCCGTATCCGCAAGCCTAGTTTTCCCGTCTCCTCCGTAGTTTTGGGATTCGTGCATGGACACCCTTCCCGCCGTATCCGCAAGCCTAGTTTTCCCGTCTCCTCCGTAGTTTTGGGATTCGTGCGTGGACACCCTTCCCGCCGTATCCGCAAGCCTAGTCTTCCTGTCTCCTCCGTAGTTGTGGGATTCGTGCGTTGACACCCTTCCCGCCGTATCCGCAAGCCTAGTTTTCCCGTCTCCTCCGTAGTTTTGGGATTCGTGCGTGGACACCCTTCCCGCCGTATCCGCAAGCCTAGTTTTCCCGTCTCCTCCGTAGTTTTGGGATTCGTGCGTGGACCCTCTTCCCGCCGTATCCACAATCCCGCCGCCTCCGTAGTTTTGGGATTTGCGCGTGGACACCCTTCCCGCCTTATCCACAATCCTAGCTCCTTCGCCATCCTGGGGCTCGTGCGCGGTTCCGCCCTCGTGCTGACTCACGCCCGCAAAGTAGTCTCCCGGCTTGGCCTCGCCCGAAGGTCCAGCCCGGTGGATTTTTCGCCTCCGACGCGAAACCCAAGACTTACGCCTGCCAAGTAATATCCCGGCTTGGCCTCGCCCGAAGGTCCCGCCCGGTGGATTTTTCGCCTCTGACGCAAAGTTCAAGACTGGCCAGCCCGTTAGCTCGCAGCCCAGGAATCGGACTCTGCATAACCAACGTCATCTGCTTTTCTTCGACGTAAATAAGGACCTCTGATGAAGACTCCCCTAAAAGTTACCCGTTCCCCTGTGGAGTGGAACCCTCTAGTCCGGCGTTTCGGTGATGTAAAATTTTCTTGTAAAGGACTCTGGATCCGACTGAGATCAGTATCCCGGCCGAGAAAGCATCCTTACACTATGATATTTGGTTCGACATAATTAATTTGGTTAGTTAATAGCGTTTTTGTGGCCCTGCATAAATAAAAATATCAGCTGGTGTTCTACCTGTTGTATTGTGTTTTATTTTATGATTGTAAGTATACAGTATTACTTCCATTTTCATAAGTTTATTTTCCGTGTTGTCGCTGGTCTCGATAACACGTATTTTTTCGTTAATTGTTTTGTGTAATCTTTCTACATCTAATCCCTATCCCTATCCCTATCTGTTTTCAAGGTTCTGGTTTTTCCCATTGAATTAAATATTCGAAAAAGTCCTCTTTTAACTTCCATCCAGTCCTTTCCGTTAATTAAATCGCGGTTCCAAATTTTTTATAAATCAATACAAGTTAGGTAATTTTGCTTTTTGATCGTGTAAATATCTGCGACGTAAATTTCCCTACAAAACTCTGATTCTGGAGTGGTTTTTAAAAAAAGCGATGTTTTTTTATGTTCGGTTTTTGCTTGGTTACAGACATTACTCCCATTAATTAAATTCTGTATTAAATTCTGGTAGTCGGGATAATAATAGGTTTCTTTGAAAAGCCTTACCATTTTTTCAATTCCTGGGTGCAATAGTTTTTCATGGTTGCTAACAATAATTTCTTTAAATCCAGCGTATGTTTTTATGTGCTGTAATTTAGTTACTGCTCTTACAATTTTTGTAGTAGAGTTCATGACCTGCTTAAAAGCTTGTTGAATGATTTCAAAATCAGAGTCGTGTTCGATGTAAAGTGCACTTGACTTGGTACAAAAGTGTTTTATTAATATTTGCTTAGCTTTCTCAATGTTTAATTCATGAAACATTATTTTAATCTTGACTTTCTTAAAATAATTTTCACTTTGTTCATCTTCTGTATTGCTTCGAATCATTTCTACCTGTCTTAGGAAATGATTGATTGGTTTTTCAGTAATTGTTATTAAATTTTCATTAGGTTTTTGTCGCCCATACTATAGCTAATAATTCTTTTTTCAATGCTTGTTTATTAATTCACGAAGGACATTGTTCATGCATCGCTGAAAAGTTGCAGGTGCATTTTTAATCCAAATGGTATTCGTGTGTACTCGTAGTGTCCGTACTTTGTGGAAAACGCTGTTTTGTTTATGGAATTTTTGTCCATTTCGATCTGGTGGAAACCTTTAGTCAAATCAATGATGGTAAAATATTGACACCGTCCTAGCTTGCCTAGTATTTCGTCCATATTGGGAATGGGAAATGTATCACAAATAGTGATCTCATTTAAGCCCCTATATTCTACTACAAGTCTAAATTTTTGTTTACCTGATTGTTTGTTTAAATTATCCACAATGGAATGTAATAAGGTGACTGGCTGAGCCTAGTTATTCCTGGCTTTAACATATCCTGTATTTGAGACTCAACTTCTTTTTCAAATAAAAAAGTATACCCATACGGTTTTTTATAAATTGGATTTTCATGGTGCGTTTTTATTTCATGCCTAACAACATTCGTAAAGGTCAAATTTTCACGATCACGATATTGAATGCATTTATATTGGTTTATTAATTTTAATAATTTAACTTTTTCTTCTTTATTTAAGTGTTCTAATCGAAAATTTTTTCCCTCTGCTAATTCATTTTAAACAGCATAATTTATTTCATTAGTATAATTTTTAGATTTTAGCAATGACTCAAAATCATATATTTGTGTTGAATTTTTAAAACTAATGTTTTTGTGTATAAAAAATGAGCCCACTAATAGTAGTGCGATTATTTAAATAATCAATTTTTGCGTGGTTTGCCTCTAGTAACTTTCGTCCTAGTAGTATGTTATAATTGGAAGAAAAGTCGCGAATATAAAATATTTGTTCTTGAGTAAATAAACTGTTAGGTGCAACTTTTACAAATTCATTTAGTTCATAATGACCTGTCATAGTGCGTATAATTGTCGGATCTTTATGTATACTCCCGTTAAGAAAATTCTTTTTCATTAAGTTAATTGATGAACCGGTATCGACGAGGCAATGATAATTATGATTATTCATAGTTATTTCTATGTATGTAATTGGTCCGAGGCTTGCATTGGAAAATTTTCATTTTCATCATAAACATCTTCTTTGTACTCTTTAATTTGTTGATAATTTTCGTCTATTTGCATTCTTGATTGTCCACTATTACACGATCGTCCACTTGGCTGTTGGCTTTGATTCATTGTATTATTTTGCTGACCCTGAATTAAACTTCTTCGAAACTCTTGG